CCTTGGGTTATAGCTCTGCCTCCAGCTCCCAGCCCACTGGAGGTAGAAGCTTTTCTTCACTCAGACAGCTGCTGGCTGCTGAGGCTGCCAAGCCCAAGGTTGACAAGTAAAAAGGCACAGTCCTGATATTACCCAACCACACAGCAGGCCATTTATTTAAGTCCATTGTAAGTCCCAAGGTCAGCAGAGCATGGCAGGGTGCTCAACAACGACATAGCTATATGCAGGGTCTAAGCGTGCCACAAGCTGGAGACCATTCCCCAAGGATTCTGCTTATATACAGGAAGCAGCCCACATATTCTAAGGCTGTTACTCAGCTGCTCACAGTAGATTCCACCATGGAGTTGATTACCAGTCTCATCGTGGGGAACACTGCACCCAGATGCCCAGCCACTCAACCAGGCCCAGCCAAGTTGACACACAAAGTGAACTACTGCACATAGCAATCATAAGTGCTATTTTTAATATTTCCAGGAACTGATAAATTGTTTTCAAAAGTGGCTGCAACATTCTACATCCCAACAGCAATATATCAGTTTACCAACTTCACCACATCCTTGACAATACTTATTGTCTGTCTTTTTCATTTTAGCCATTCTACTTGGTCTTCCACAAGCAGATACGCCAGTTCCCACCTCAAAGACAGTGCTTGTGCTAGTTACACTACATGTGCCACTCAATAGGAAAGGGAAGATCCTTTCTCTTAGTAAATATTGTGGATGATTTTCACATTTGAAATAAAAAAAATGTTTACACCATGTCCTATCGAGAATACCTTTTAGGGTTGTTTCCACATATCATTGACTTTGAACAAATTTACAGTTCTGCAAGTTATAGGAAACTAAAAAACATGCAAATAATTCTTGCCCATGGAAATGCAAATTATTGTGTCTGGTGTAATGTAATTTATTTTTAACTCATTCTGCATCTATATTGAGACCATTGAAAATAACATGGCTTTTGTCAAGCACACCTTAGTCCTTAATGTGACATATTTGATTTTTATCACTTAAAAGACGGAGCTCTAGTAGCATAGTGCCTAAGGCATTGGACTGCTAACCAGAAGGCTGGTGATTCAAACCCACCAGCCATTCCTCGGAAGGTCAGGCAATATACTTCCTTAGTGAT